TGGCGCGCCTCGCGGATAATTAGCCGACACGCTAAAGTGTACACTTTTCGTAAACGTGTAGAAAGTGTAGGCAAAATGAACAAACCTCATCCTTGTAGGCTCTTTGATTTCCACGGCCGAACAGACCGGATGGGTCGTGGCGCGCCTCGCGGATAATTGGCCGACACGCGATAGTCGTCGGTTCGCTTCCGTTTCCCTGTCTCGCGATTCCAGAAACGGACTGCCTCGAAATTCTACCGTATTATTTCTAGCCCGCGGTTCTATTAGAGGCGAGCTATCGATTCGAGGGTAGAGCGCCTCTGCCAGTAGGAAGTGTTCGAGATCCATTGTTGGGTCACGCGACGAAAGGGACTTCTCGTGATTCCGTCTGGACGTAATGCTTTCCCCTTGGGACTATTGTTATCCGCACCGTTTTCTCCATGCTTCTGGATGTTACTGACGTGACGAATCGAATGCTTCTTCATCTCGAGTTCGTACTCGAATTCGAACGCGTTGCCAAATTGAGTTTGAATTCGAATCGACTATTCGGCGAAAGACGGAACGCGTTCTCGTTAAAAGAATAAACAATTTGAAAAACAATGGCTCGAGCTAACGAATTTGGTCGATACCTCGGTACGAGTACTCTGTTTAAAAATGTGTGTTATATTGTATAACACATATAACACATATGTGTTATGTGTTGTATAAATACTCTGTTAAAAATAAGCGTTCGAAATAATGGTATTACGTTTCTTTAAAATACAGTATTTCGAAATATCGCGTACAATTGTGTCCGGGATCTTAGTATACGAGTGTACGGATTTCAGAGGGCATGTATAGGACATTTTGAGATCTTTTTTATACTAATGTTCGGGTACTATGAGAATTTATAGACAGTTGTGTGCGAAGGTACATACGACTCTCACTAGACATGATTGCAAAATTTAGAGTACTTTTGTATACCGGTTTTCGATCACGTGCATGTACACAATTGTATGCATTTTGAGAAAAACGCTTTATGGTACATTTGTTAACATCTATACCGATTTTTTTTTTTCATCTTACTGTCTTATTCGTAATTTTTAATACTTTTGTACCACATCTTACGTAGAGACGATGTTCTTCGGAATGGAGTATATATGTGCCCTGTTTTCATCCCGAATGCTGCTGTTTCTGATTTGAATATACATTCGCACTCGAAAGTGTTCTAAATATTTTTAACAGGGTGGATAACTCGCACTCGTTCGTGCCGATAACTCGAGTTGCAATAAAAATGACTCGAATTGACTCGAATTTAAGGGGATGTGAAAGTGGCGTCGGAGAGGTTTCGTTTATGAAACTTTTATCCGAATTGGGTTTACCGAATCATTTCAAACTTCACAACGTGAATATGGAGACTATATGGAAGGTCCTGAAACTCATGAAATTTAAATTTTTTAACACTTTGTAGGTATTTTAAAAATTTTGTATAAAAATTGCAATTTCATGAGAGCTAGGACGTTCCTTATAGACTCAATATTCATGTTGTAAGATTTCAAACGATTCGGTACCCCCAGTTCAGCGAAAAGTTTCATGAACGATCGACCCCTCTGATGCCACTTTTACATCCCCTTAACGAGCCGAAATACCTGACTTGTCGCATTCTTAATTTATATATATATATTTTTTTTTCATTGTACCGTGGAGACGATCGTAACCTTGGAATTCTCGAATCGTTGCGTCACGTTCCGTTGATTCATCCGATCCTCGACTGTATACGATCAACTTTCGCATACGAAATTGACAGTTTCGTATACGACTTTCAACAGTTGGTATTCTTGAGTGATCACCGCGGTTTCGTATTAGAATGATGCCACGGGAATTACATCGCATGGGTCATAGCATGCGAAAGAGAAAATTCGTATACGAAAGTAACATAAAACTATCGGTTTTTATGAGAGGGTTGAAGATCGATACAACCATATAGAGCATGACAGGAGAAAAAATAAACAACAAAAATAAACGGGAATTACATCGCATGGGTCATAGCATGCGAAAGAGATAATTCGTATACGAAAGTAACATAAAACTATCGGTTTTTATGAGAGGGTTGAAGATCGATACAACCATATAGAGCATGACAGGAGAAAAAATAAACAACAAAAATAAACGGGAATTACATCGCATGGGTCATAGCATGCGAAAGAGATAATTCGTATACGAAAGTAACATAAAACTATCGGTTTTTATGAGAGGGTTGAAGATCGATACAACCATATAGAGCATGACAGGAGAAAAAATTAACAATTGCTAAAGCGAACATTTCATTGGTTCGGGCATTTCACAGACAAGCAGCAACATTGCTTCATACTTACGAGTAATTCGCCCGAACCCAATTCGAAGAGTCCTCAAGAGTTGGTCTTACTACTCGTATGCGAAATATTTCCTCCTTCCTAATTAACACTATGCCGTCCGGCGACACCACAGTGGTGACGTGCGCAAACTAGCGGTCAACGGCCGGTGACACCACAGTGGTGATGTGCGCAAACTTTTGGCCAACGGCCGGCGACACCACAGTGGTGTCGATAACGTCAAAAACGGCCGGCGACAAGTCAAGTGATCCGAATTAGCGCTGCCGGCGCCAAGCGAATAAATATTTACGAATCGTGCGGACGGCAAAGTGTTAAAAGAGCATTCAAATTATGTCGTAGCACTCTTTTATATGAAAATGACCACTTATCGAAAATCGCTCCCATATAAACGCAGGTTAACCTTTTGTCTTTAATATGAGCACCAGTTGAGCTAGATCGGTTNTCCATGACGAGTATACTCGTCAATACACAAAATCGTGCCACTTTTCCATGACGAGTATACTCGTCAATACACAAAATCGTGCCACTTTTCCATGACGAGTATACTCGTCAATACACAAAATCGTGCCACTTTTCCATGACGAGTATACTCGTCAATACACAAAATCGTGCCACTTTTCCATGACGAGTATACTCGTCAATTACAGTTAACTGGTTAAGACCGAGTGCACGAGAGCCATTCTTGTCTCGCTAGGAGCCAAACTTGGAATGGAATTGCCACGTTGCCGACACGAAAGTCGTCGGACGATCTTTCGTTTGAAGGGACGCCCTTCGCACAGTCTAGACGCCGTTCACGATCTCGGTTGCGGAATGTCGAGTGGTTGGAAGCGCACTGCCATTGCGAGGGAAAATCAGCCAATCGTGTCTATCTCGAAGCGTTTACGGTATTCGTTTCCTTGCGCAAATAAGTCGAGGTTGTACCTACCAATGTAATCCTGCTTTTCGTCGAAATACCGCACTATGAGAAAGAATCTCGCTACAGTATTACGTCGAATTTGATACCCGCTAACGCAATATACGGTAACGGATCTTGCACAATTGTGCGATTTCTGACCATTTCGTAAACTGGTATGGCAATTCGAGTATCTGACACGAGTGTCGGAAATTAACCCTTTTAGTGCCGGGCGAAAAAGAGGTGCTTATGTGAAGATAACCGGCCGAATTTTACGATTTTACTAGGATTTGGAAAAAGGCTCATAAAAACCAAACGAAAAGCAATGTTTACATAATTCAAAAGGCAGGGTATTAAGGACAAAATAGAGAATAAAACGGTGACGCTAATTTCTCTATATTCATTGAAAATTACATAAATAACAAAGGTATAAGTGATAAAAAAAGAAAAGAAAAATTGAGTTCTCTGTTTCAAAACGTAATTGCACGTAGGATAAGTCATCTTTTTATCATAAATTTATATGGACCGTTTATTGCAAAGTATATACTTTAAATTTCCAATATATTTTTTAACAAAATAAGTAATGTTGGACAAGAAACATAAAAAATAACTCCAAGGCACATGGGAGGCGCCGGACGGATTATCTCATCCGAAACAAGTAATTGTTATGGGTAATATAACAGTGCTGAANCTAATGCCCTTAAAAAAATGTATTGTATTAAAATCGACTGCTGTGAAGGGTGTTTCACTTCACCTTAACAGGGTACTGTAGTGAAAGAATTCTTTCTATATACTGTATTTCCAGCGACCGATCACTGGAACGTCCGAAATGCGTCTTGGAAATGACTCGAGTTGGTGTTAGATTATAAATGCGTTAATATCGCGAGAGAACACGAAAATCTAAAAGCGCGGCACGAAGGATTTCTTCGCAATTACGTCGCAAAGGATAGTGATATGCTTTTTCCCTCATTTACGTTCCAGCGGAATTGACTGTCTTGTTAAAAATTTCCGGTAGGAGTACTTTAAGCGGCGGGCTGAATGTGAGAATAACTCAATTCAAGGGAATCTAATTACTTCCCGTGTACATCTGTCCAAATTAATTGAGCAGATTCTTATCGAGCCAAAAATGATCTGTCCAATTTTGGAGCATTTAATGGATGTATTTAATGTCATTCGGTAACTGGATCTGAGTTGACGTCGATATGTCGAAGTGGTTTAGTTTCCCTTGAATCGAGTCCTCTTTTTCTCGTTCAATGCCTAGTTCCTAAGAAACTGAAATTAACGCGACTTCGCTGAAGGTAATTTCTTTCGTCTTCCTTCATTTCCGGGAAGACTTTACTCGACTTGGCCGTACGTAATTACGTTCGATTTATCCGAATACACGTGCTGGGCCGAATGTCACGGAAGCGATTAAGGTGATGTGAAAGTGGCTTCGAAGAGGTTTAGTTTATAAAATTTATCTCCCAACCCGATTTACCGAATAGTTTGAAACTTCACAACGTGAATAGGAAAACTATAAGGAAGGTCCCGAAACTCATGAAATTTCAATTCTTTTCAAATTCGTTTATAGGTATTTTCAAAATAGCGTATAAAAAATGACATTTCGCGAGTTTCAGGACCTACCTTAGGGTCTCCATATTCACGTTTTAAAGTATGAAACGATTTGAGACACCCAGTTCGGAGAAAAGTTTTATGAACTATTGAGCTCTTGGATGCCACTTTCACATCCCCTTAAAAATTCGGCTCGCCTTAATCTAATGGTTTTCTTTTTCGTTCAGTACTCAGTTAAGGAGACGAAACGGAACGTCGCTGAGAAAAAGAGAAACGATCGAGTTGGTCGATTTACAACAATCCCGTTCAATCCGGACGCGCGAAAGTCAACGATTCTTTTTCCGCGCGATCGCTGTGTTGCAGAGCCGGTGACAAAGGAAACAAAATCAAGTTAACGAAATCCACATGAATCATATGGGCTCGGGAAGGCATATAGTTCTTTTTTTCTCTCTTTTTATGTTTTTCTTTCGCAACAGACTCGGCCGAGTGACACCCTAGACACGAATTAATAAGCCACGCTCTTTACGACGCGTCCTTTTCGGTCAGACGGAGGCGCGTTGTCTTTCACGGGGGAAATGACTTTTACCACTCTCGACGAGGTATATATAAATATATAAATATATAAAAAGGAACACGAAGAAACGCGGCGTGAGTTAACCGTTTGAGTCCCAAGCAGCGCGATCGCGCTGTTCAGATTTTATGTCGAGAAAACCCAACACATTTCGAGCGTTGTGAACAACTAGCGGTGCGTCACCGATTGTCGAAATCGCGCGCTCAGATTTACTCACCCAAGTACATCTCCTTCTTTTAATGTAAATAATACATCTTACAATTCAAGAAACGCTATCGCGCCGATTAGGATTCATCGACATAAAATAAACGAAGCGCTATCGCGCTGCTTGGGTCTTCTCGTACTCATTTACAGAAAGCGTGATTGCGCTGTTCGGGATTCTTTGACAGGGTTTTTTCAATACCCCCTGGGACTCAAACGGTTAATGCAAGGTGCGTCCACGAGATTCGAACGTGGACGCGTGCATATAGGGTATATATTGTACGTAAACGCGCGATCAACAATGCCTTGATTTGTAAATAGAATGAAATCTTCCATCGTTTGTCCTCCGACCGAGGCGGCGCGCCGCCATGTTGTTTGCAGAGCCTCTCCCGTTTTTAGTACATTTTTATAAAATCTTGACGACCTCTTCGTTCTCCCTTTTTCTTTTTTTCTTTTTTTTTTTAACTGCGCATCCATTTTCTACCGATCAGGGAAGGCTTCGAGATATCGGTGCGGCTGCAGAATACGAAAATGTAATATTCCCCAACCCTCTTCGATATGTCCAGTTTGCTCTGTGATTCTGTGTTTAATAAACGAAGAATATGTATAAATATATATATTTGATAATCTCGAAGCTGTTGGAGGCGTTCTTCAATTTATGGCCCTTTAGTGTGATCTTTGTTCCCTGTGCTTGTCGTTTATCATACTTAATACTGTGCCGTTAAAGTGTTTTCACGTGAAATTCGACTTTGTCGATGGTTTTGCGCTGGGTAACAAATTTTACGAGACTAACTACGCTGTTTTAAGGTGAAGTGAAACACGTTCAGGAACTTGGTCGACATGGATAAAGAAGATTTTTATAAATGCTTACGTTGCCGACGTTCGTTTTTATATTGACAGCTGTGTCGAATTATATTGGGTATTGTACCAAATGGCATACTCCACCTGTCGCTTTTGGACAGTAATTATAAAGATATCGAAATAAAACTCCAGAAATCCTCTGGATTCGTGCTTTCTGGGGCCCTAATTGACTGCAGAGGGACCCCCTGCGCCATCTGTGATTTCCAGGTCAATTAAATCTTCACTCCGAGACCTCGTATTCCCTTCGTTTTAGCATAGAAGCGCATACAACACTTTTTTGACCTTTATCTCGTTCAAATGCGAGTTTATCGATTACCAGAGTGTTCTAAATTGTCATAAAATTGTCCTGACCCTTTCGTTTCTCATATCAGAGCCTTCGATAATTCTATATTGATCGAAATATGAGAGCTCGACGCCATTTTGGTTCTGGTCTGGGCGGAGTTAAAAAATTTGTTTGAAAAATTCAAATTTTGAATGTGTCAGGACAATTCTTAGATGATCAGGAGTGATGTGTCAAAGTTTCAGACAGTTTGGTCTAATATCCTTAAAAAAAAGTGTTGTATTCGAATCGACTGATTTGAAGGGGGTTTCACTTCACCTTAAGATTCATTTTTATTGGTAGTGTACAAGTTCAATTAATGATATGTTCTCCATTCCTACGTATGATCGGTGTCAATCTATTGGGCAGCTCCTCGATGTCTCTCTGCAAGTTTTTGCCAAATTCAGAAGTGGAAATATAAAGTGTAGCAGGACTTTTTAACCAACTTAATATATATAGGCCTCACTCCATATTCAGCGGCGTCACAAAAAAAATGTCAAGTACATACTCGCTGATTGTTGCTTGTCTAATTACAACTAAAGTAAACAATGTCGAAAACCGACAAAATGGCGCTTCTTTGAAATTTAACCCGACTTTCCATGTAATCATTTTCAAAGGTAATTTGTATCTCTTAAAGTTGTTAACCGTCAATTAAAAATGAATATAATTTTTAACGCAATTACATAAAAACTGTCTACAGACTCAAGAACCGCTGTAAAATATGCACACGCATTTGAAAATATTAAAACCTTCAAACGACCTATTCTACGTAAATATTGCGGTTTAGTCGAAGATTCAATTATGTCGACTTTTTAATATTACCAATTACTTTATGTGATTAGGTACGTGTTAAAGAGTTTCGTTGCTATTTCAGGTAAGCGAATCCTATTATAATGAGATTATTAGAAGTACCTTTATTTCATTTTATTTTTGTGTGCAATTTTAACAGCGCTCAACGAAATAACGTGATTACTTTACAAAAAGTGCATTCCTGTGATATTCTCAAGTCCGATTTCTTCACTTTATACAGCTTATGTCCACGATGTTAATACCAGAGATGAGTTGGGAGATTGCTCACGGGCAGGGTCGCGCGATCGCACCGTGTGCTGTCCTCTGATTTCGTACGTTAGCTTTCACCGTTTTTTGCCCCCAAGGACGGCGCAACGAATTTCTGGTAGGGGC